CACCGCATCTTTGTCGGCCGACTTTGCTTTCAAACAGCATTATGCCTGCTGAGTATTTTTACTTGAACCGCTTCTATGTGTGTGTGTGTGTGTGTGTTCAATTTCATTTGTTTTGGAAGCCGAGTAGCTCATGTCTCTGCCCTTCCCCCATCTCTCTCTCTCTCTCTCTCTTTATAGGGGGAAATTTGAGTCGTTCTTGTAAGCTGCAGTCACCGCATCTTTGTCGGCAGACTTTGCTTTCAAACAGCATTATGCCTGCTGAGTATTTTTACTTGAACCGCTTCTATGTGTGTGTGTGTGTGTGTTCAATTTCATTTGTTTTGGAAGCCGAGTAGCTCATGTCTCTGCCCTTCCCCCATCTCTCTCTCTCTCTCTCTCTCTCTCTCTCTCATGCCCACTGTCACTCTCTTTTTCTTCCTGAAACACCCTCTCCTCTCCTCTGCTCTCCTCTCGTCATTTTAAAACAGAAATACATCGTGATTTATTCAGGACTGTCTGGCAGGCTCTTAGTTGTATGAGCATCTGTTCTGATTTGTTCTTGTGTGCAGTACAGGGATTGAGTTGTTAATCAGTGCATTGTTAGATTTTTTTATTGTCTGGTTAATTTTAAACTAATATCTTCTTGTCCAAAGGAGAAACTAATATATATTTACACAGGAAAGAATGCAAACAGACATTACTTAGGAATATAGCAGGTTCCAAACGCAAAAGGTTAGACGGATCGTTCCACCCAACATTCTAATTCTGTCATCATTTTCTCACCCTCATGGCATTCCAAACCTTTATAACTTTCTTCTGTGAAACATGAGTAGATATTTTGTATCATATTTAAACTGTTTTGGGTTATACAGTGAAAGCCAGTGGGGTCTATACAACACTGGACCCCATTGAATTTTATTGTATGGACATATACTGGCAAGTTTTTCACTTCTTTACAGGTTTGGAATGACATGACGGTGAGTAAATGATGACCGAGGATGTTTCTCAATTCTAAGAACGCAGACGGGCTCGCATTCTCATGGAGACCGGTTTTACCAGGCTACCCTTAAAGAACAAACTCAGAATGACACGAGGACACAGAACGCATCTTTGTGAGAATGGAGATGTCTTGTTGCTCATCTGGCCATCCTAGCACATATTAAATAGCAGGACAGCACCACCCAATGCACAATAATATAACATAACATCACAGATGTCATCATAACTAATTAAAACATTTACTTGCATTTTTTTTTTTTTTTACTGCATGTATTTGTGTAAATTGTGCTTTGTCAATGTTAATATTCTTTTTAATATGCCACTAAAAAGTACTGCAGGCTTTCTTCAGGTCTTTATCACTTTATTAAGATTATGGCAAACAAAATGACATGTTTACTTTCATAAGCAGTCAGGCATTTTTTTGCATGCATGCCACAGAAAGTTTAACACTAGAAGTTTAAGCTTACAAGCTTACGGATTTCGAACGGTTTGCTTCTCTCGTCTGTATTTGATGCATCCTCGATATCAAGAACACATCTGGGTACTCTGTGTTCTTGAGTGTTGGAATTGAACTTTGACCTTTGAGGATGAAGTACTGCGAAAACACAAGGGTGCAAGGTCGTGTAACAGCTGGACCGATCAGACACACAATTATTAGTTATATATAACAAATAATCTTTAAAACCCACTCTGTGAGTTCCACGAACCATCCTCTGAAAGTGCAACTATCACTCCAGGAGGGCTCAGTTACCAGGGCTACCATCTGATAAGACTCTTTATTGCTAAAAAGTATGTGGAAAAATGCTATGTGCACTGTGCTATATACCCTTTGAAAGACAGACACAGGACCATATAATGTAGTGTTGTCACGATACTGGAATTTCTAACTTCGATACGATACCTTGAAAAATATCGATATTCGATACCATTTTCGATACCACGGAGTAAAAAACTGCCACAATATTAATATTTTTTTTAATTTAGTGATAAATATAACAAGTCTAGAACATGACAATGAGGTATATTTTACATGAACAAAAATGTCTTGAGGTAGTGTACTTGTTCAAAAGCCTCTCAAATTGCCATATATTCAAAAACCAATAAAGTGCAAGTAAAAAAAAAAGTGCAATCTTTTGTATTTCCAAGTAAAATCAAATCCAATCACATCAACAAAAGATACTTAAACCTCAAGCAAAAACAAAATCAGTGCAATCTTATTCATCAAGTAACAAATTAGTAAACAAAATAATTAAATGGAATCCGTTACTGCAATTATATGCAGATTTTCAAACGAGACAACACTCATATCAGCAACAATACTAGGCCGTCTTGGTTAATATTTCAGTAATGTTAAAAGGAGAACAGTTACCAACCTCTCGAAATTCTTTATATAGATCCGGGTGTCTGTCTTTCAGGTGCTTTGCTAAATTAGAGGTGTTGGCGCCTTTTGTTAGCACTGCTCTGTAGCAACTCTTGCATATTGGCTTGCTTGTGTCCTTCGGCTTTCCATGTTCATTTGTTTCATATCCAAAATATTTCCAGATAGCACTCCTGCTGTGTTCTTTATCAACCAAAGCCGGTCGCGGGGGCGCCGCACTCGCCATCTTTCTATTCACTTCACTTTTGCTATTTAACCAGAGCTAATGAGACGAGACAGGCACTGCGGTCACGTGTGGTGTTTGTCAACGCGCCTTTGGAGAGAAGTGAAAGTGACAGCTCGGCTAGTATCGGTGTATCGATACTTCGGGAAATTAGTATTGGTACCGTTCAGATATTTCAGTATCGATATTTATCGAAATATCGATATTTTTGACAACACTAATAGAATGGACCATTTCTCCACATAAATTCATAGACCGACCATTCTATGAATAAATATGCATATTCCAGAACATTGTGTCTTCACTTGAGACATGTACAATCATTTATCCTATGTAATCATATGTTTTTTTATAGTGTTTTTCCTATATATTAAACCTTCAATGAATGTTGTAGTATTACTTAATTAACCAAGATCGCACATATGCCTGCTTGGTATCTGTGAGCTTCAAATTACATTTCCTATTTGTTAATTTGCTTTACATTTTGCTAACTCTGTGACACATTAGTATTATAAGAATCTTTAAGATTCTTCTCTTGAACAGCCAATTCAGTTTCATATGCAAAACACCCTGCTAGAAGACAAAGGATCATAAAATTTCCCTCCAAAGTTTCCATTCCTCATTGGATCCCTCAAATCCCAAGGGTGTGACATCTTCACACTTTAAAGATCACTGATCACAAGATCAGGTGCGTTTTTAGATTTTTGAGAAGATGAGGATGCTGAGCTAGAAGTCTTTTAAGGACCCCTAAGTTTGTGCCAGGCTGCGGCCTTGTCTTTCCATTCATCAAAGATTCTCAGGCTTCTCTCATCAAGAAAAAAATCAACCAAGATCAACTGGAGCCTCAACAAACTGCATCAGGACACTTTTATTCAAATGGGCAAGACATGCAAGTATCAAACTTTTAGTCTCATTGTTTGATCCATTAAAGGGTTAGTTCACCCAAAAATGAAAATTCTGTCATTAATTACTCACCCTCAAGTCGTTTCAAACCTCGTAAGACCTTCATTCATCTTTGGAACACAAATTAAGATATTTTTGATGGAATCTGAGAGCTGTCTGACCCTGCATAGACAGCAACGTAACTGAAATGTTCCCAAGTCCAGAAACGTAGCAAGGAGATCGGTAAAATGGCACCAGGGTGATGCGGAGGAGATGAATTGTTGAATAAAGTCGTTTTTTTTTTTCTTTTGCGCACAAAAAGTATTCTCGTAGCTTCGTATGCAGGGTCAGACAGCTCTCAGATTCCATCAAAAATATCTTAATTTGTGTTCCAAAGATGAACGAAGGTCTTACGGGTTTGAAACGACTTGAGGGTGAGTAATTAATGACAGAATTTAAATTTTTGGGTGAACTAACCCTTTAAGTATTCCCACCCCTTTTAAAGAAAGGTGTGTTAGAACTAAGAAACTGATGGTTTGCTCAAGGCTGTTGATCTGCCGAATCTCAAACAATACTATAACTTCTTGCATTCCTGTACGCTGCTTAAGTTCTCTTTCCATTGCTAACTGTATGCATGTGTGTATGTGTTAGAATAGTTTAAGTGTTTAGTGTAGTTATTAAAGTCTTGTTTGTATCACACTCAAGGTTGTATGTTGTTTTGCCCATAACTAGAGTCCCTATTAATGCATATTTTAGCTACATGCTCTGAATTGTACAATAAGGAGTTTATTTCCCATACCCCGTAAATAAACATTTCTTAGAATGAATAAACAATTAAGTTAACACAGGGTGTTCGCTGGGTGAACAGGTTTGTTGATTGTAATATTAATTACATTAGCTGATCCAAATATTTATAATTAATTATAACAAGTTATGATTAATTATTAATATTTGTCTTTTGAGCTAATTTGTTACAGTTGCATAAAAACGCATATTGAGAAATGACAAGACTATTCATTTTTGGGTGAACTGGCCCTTTAATCTCACCAAGAAACACACATCAGTCAATCTGGACAGCATGTGTTAATTTGCCATTCTGGAGAAGAATGGTTTATTATTAAGAATGTTAGTGTGTACATTGCCTGTCTTTGCTCTGCATTGTTTGGCCACTTCTGTTTGGTTTTTCCCTCTCGTTTTCAAGCCTGTGGAATGTGACACTTCCGTTGTGTTTGTGTGTGTTTGGGGCTGCTCCTGCATATTTCATAGCTTAGACCATTACTGAACTATCCTAGCCTGAGGGAAAGCGTGCACGTGTGTGTGAGAGATGTGTTTGTATTTGAGTGTGTTTGGGTTTGTGTGTGCCTTCAGATGTGTGTATCAGTGCCTGAGCTGCGAGTATGTGTTTGTGTGTTTGCCCAGTAAACAGTTTGGCCTATGCAAATGAAGTGTGTTTGGCGCTGGAAGTGTGATGTTGTGATCAAGTTGGCTCAGAATGTGCGTGTTAATTTCTGCCGCTGTCTTCCTTTCCTTCTCCTGTAGCAAATGGTGATGAGCCTGCGGGTGTCAGAGCTGCAGGTTCTTCTGGGCTACGCAGGCAGAAACAAACATGGACGAAAGCACGAGCTCCTGACCAAAGCCTTATACCTCCTTAAAGCCGGCTGCAGCCCTGCCGTCCAGATGAAGATCAAGGAGCTCTACAGAAGACGCTTTCCCACCAAGCTGGTGTCCCCAGCAGAGCTGGCCCTGCCCGGAGTCCACCCCGTCACTGCCTCTTTGCCCCCTGGCCTCACGCAGTTGGGATTTGATGGGCACAGAGCGCCCGCATCCCCTCTGCTCCCCATCTCCCTTCTCGGGCCCAAACATGAGCTGGGACTGCCCCACCTCCCCACGAGCCTGCACCCCGTACACCCTGATGTCAAACTTCAACGGCTGCCGTTCTACGATGTTCTGGATGAGCTCATTAAACCTACGAGTCTTGGTGAGTTTTTGAGATTTTGATAGTGAGGTGAGTGTATGTTCATGCACATTTTTAGTGGTGTGTTTTTTGTGTAGATCTGTGTGATGTATGGCAACTGTAGAGATGCGCAGACCCATTTTTCCCTACATTAGCATTTTAATGGTGTTGGCTGGTTTGGCATCAGTGTGTTCGTTTGCCTGAGGAGTGTTGTTCAAATAGACTGCCAATCCCCACAACCAACCACAGTCTCTCTCTCTCTCTCTTTTCCTAAACTGTCATTTGCATACAGTGTTGAAATCATGAGTACACACACTATGGCATCCGAATTTTCTAGAGCACACATTGCAGTGGTCCAAATTGCCAATTTTTTAATAAAACCAATTTATATATATATATATATATATGCTGTATGTATAAAGTTATAATAATAACTTTGTTTTAAATAGTTGATCATTTAACTATACATTTATTTTAGTAATTTTTTTGAAAGAAGTTTTTTATGCTCACTAAGGTTCAGGGATGGGCACAAGTACTCGAGACGTGACAGCGATGATCAATCATGAAAACGATGATCGTCCTGAATTATATTTCTCTTTTTTTTCTGATTGGTTATTGCTGAAATTTGGGCGGTATCTGTGGTCTGATTTGTTAGGCCTGGAATCACTCATGAAATACAGTTAAGTGCAAGATGTGCAGCGCCAGTCTGTCACCTACACAACATTACAATGAGAACACGATTGTTATAGAATATTGTAAATTCTCTGTGCTTTAGTTGCCCATTGTTCAGCGCGCTGTTAAGGGGAAGAGCACATCCACAACGAGTTACATTAGACTAGCACCGTAGCACGGTCAAGTTCACATGCGCCATTCGTGTCCTTTTCTGCAGATGTAAGTTGTAATAGGTATATATATATATATATATAATTCTAATATAGAATGTATATCTGATTATTCTAATATAGGATGTGTTTGTCTGAGTATATTAACCCACTAGCTCTGCAGGGTGGTTTTTATTCACAGTTTCAGCTCAAATGCAATGCCTGATATTATTGATTATGACTGGGTTATTTGAGATGGTCATATTGCTTTTAGATGTTTCCTTTTCAAAAACACGGATGACATTATTATTGCAGCAGTATTTTTTTTCTCGTATTTTTTCTTTCAACTGTAGAGCAGGCATATACATAACATCATAATGAGAACATTATAGAATATCATGAATTAGTTTTGCTTTCCTTGCCCATGTTTCCTTTACTCATTTTTTGAGACTTATCAGTGATCGAAATAAGAAATTGGAAAAAAAAAGTTGCATTTATTTAATCAAAACAGTTAAAACAGTAATATTGTGAAATATTATTACAATTTAAAATGTTTTCTGATTGAATTATTTTGGTCTATAAGAATTTTTTTATTATCAGTGGTGAAAACAGAAAACAAAATTTAAACAAAAAAATATAAATTTTATATATAAAAATATATATATTTTTAGAATTCTATGATAAATAGCAAGTTCAAAAGAACTTGCATCATTTACAACAAAACAATGCAAATGTCTTTACTGTAACTTTTGATCAATTTAATGGATCCTTGCTGAGTAAAAGTATCAATTTCTTAAAAAAAAGAAAAAATCGGTTACACTTTATTTTAAGGTGTCCTTGTTACAGTGTAATTATATATTTAAGTGCTGAGTAATTAATTAACTACATGTACTTAATAGGGATGCTCCGATCGATGGCCGGTGATCGGTTAAGGTTCAGGGATGGGCACAAGTACTCGAGACGTGACAGCGATGATCAATCATGAAAACGATGATCGTCCTGAATTATATTTCTGATTGGTTATTGCTGAAATTTGGGCGGTATCTGTGGTCTGATTTGTTAGGCCTGGAATCACTCATGAAATACAGTTAAGTGCAAGATGTGCAGCGCCAGTCTGTCACATACACAACATTACAATGAGAACACGATTGTTATAGAATATTGTAAATTCTCTGTGCTTTAGTTGCCCATTGTTCAGCGCGCTGTTAAGGGGAAGAGCACATCCACAACGAGTTACATTAGACTAGCACCATAGCACGGTCAAGTTCACATGCGCCATTCGCGTCCTTTTCTGCAGATGTAAGTTGTAATAGGTATATATATATATATATATAATTCTAATATAGAATGAATATCTGATTATTCTAATATAGGATGTGTTTGTCTGAGTATATTAACCCACTAGCTCTGCAGGGTGGTTTTTATTCACAGTTTCAGCTCAAATGCAATGCCTGATATTATTGATTATGACTGGGTTATTTGAGATGGTCATATTGCTTTTAGATGTTTCCTTTTCAAAAACACGGATGACATTATTATTGCAGCAGTATTTTTTTTCTCGTATTTTTTCTTTCAACTGTAGAGCAGGCATATACATAACATCATAATGAGAACATTATAGAATATCATGAATTAGTTTTGCTTTCCTTGCCCATGTTTCCTTTACTCATTTTTTGAGACTTATCAGTGATCGAAATAAGAAATTGGAAAAAAAAAGTTGCATTTATTTAATCAAAACAGTTAAAACAGTAATATTGTGAAATATTATTACAATTTAAAATGTTTTCTGATTGAATTATTTTGGTCTATAAGAATTTTTTTATTATCAGTGGTGAAAACAGAAAACAAAATTTAAACAAAAAAATATAAATTTTATATATAAAAATATATATATTTTTAGAATTCTATGATAAATAGCAAGTTCAAAAGAACTTGCATCATTTACAACAAAACAATGCAAATGTCTTTACTGTAACTTTTGATCAATTTAATGGATCCTTGCTGAGTAAAAGTATCAATTTCTTAAAAAAAAGAAAAAATCGGTTACACTTTATTTTAAGGTGTCCTTGTTACAGTGTAATTATATATTTAAGTGCTGAGTAATTAATTAACTACATGTACTTAATAGGGATGCTCCGATCGATGGCCGGTGATCGGTATCGGCCGATTATCACATTTTATGACTCGATCGGTACTCATTAACTTGGCCGATCTCACGAACCGATCGCAATTTGATGACGACAACACCTGATGACGTACATGATGCGTGGGGACATAAATGATTTGGCGCCACAGTCATGTCATCGCCGGTGTGGAAAAACGATGACATTTCGAGAAAAAATTAAAAATTTGTTATTTGTGTATGTTTTGCATGATGATATGATGAATGGATGGTTCATTTTTAACATCAGATTCAGTGACGTTAGAGCTGATCTGCGGCTCACTGCACGCGGCTAGCGGCACGTTGCAGCTCCACGGCAACGTATGGGCTGCAAAAATCCTGATCGTAGCATCCCTAGTACTTACTATATGGTTAGGGTTAGGATTAGGGTTTGTTTGGCTTAGGGTTACTTGCATGTAATTATGCATAATTAATTGTTATTATAATAGTAAGTACATGTAACAAGGACACAAAATAAAGTGTTACCACAAAATCTTACTGACCTGATCGTTTTTACCCCCACGTAAAATATGGAACAATTTTGTTTTACTTGCAGCTTCATGTATAGACTGCTGAGACCCACCATTACTTTGTTCTGTATATTTTACTTTGGTAGCTTTGTCTCAAGAATGTTTTGACACAGTTCTTGAGAAATGGAATAAAATAAAATAAAAATACTTTTGGTTTCACAGCTAAATGTAATGATAAACCTTCCACTAAGGTGAAAGTTGTTAGAAGACATGTGACAGTCATTAAGCTTTTCTTTAGCTGAATCGCTAGTGTTGCTTACTTCAGTGATGTTCGACTGTTCCTTTGTTCCTCAGGAATGAGTTCTGGACAACAGTAAACATACACAGATGAGTTCCAGACTGTGCTAGAGCACTCACTGCTAAACACAAATGACTTCTAGAACTATAGATTGTAAAAGTGTTAACTGTTGCTTTTGATCAATTTAATGTGTCCTTGCTGGTAAAAAGTAATAATGTCTTTCATAAAAATAAAAAAAAATCAATCAACAATTACCCTGGCACACCTGTAGGTGATCGATATGTGCGTAGGATAAACGACCAAAACCAGGTAGAACATCAAAGCAAAAAAGAATAAATCCTGCACACTCTCAGTACTTGCAAATGTATCAAAAATAGATTTATTCACAACTTTTTGGTGCTATGATCTTAATTAGCCATATATAGACCGTTCCAACACAATCCAATTTAAAAACAAAAACAGATAGTGTGTGGGATTTATTCTTTCTTGCGTTAACCCCTCCCCCCCCCCCCCCCCCC